ATATACCCAAAGAACTAAAAGCAGGGACCTGAACACATATTTGTACACCAATGTTCAAAGCGGCATTATTCACAATAGCCAAAAGGTGGAAATAACCCAAATGTCCATGGACAGATGAATGGATAAACTCAATGAAGTATATACAAGGATACTTTTAAAAGTTTGTGGAAAATTAGAATTAAAAGATAATACAAATCTTTCCATGAATTTCAAAGAACCCCTGTGCATACAATGGAATATTATTTAGTCTTGAAAAAGGAATAAAATTCTGATACATGCTACAACACCGATGAACCTTGAACACATTACACTAAGTGAAATAAACTAGACACAAAAGGACAAATATTGTATGATTCCACTTAAATGAGGTACTTAGAAAAGGCAAACTCATAGAGACAGAAATTAGAATAGAAGTCACCCGGGACTAGGTGTAAGGGGGAATGAGGATTTAGTGTTTAATGGGTACAGAGTTTCAGTTTGGGATGATGAAAAAGTTCTGGTGACAGACAGTGGTTACAGTTACACACAATATGAGTGTATTTAATACTAGTGAATTGTATACTTAAAAAGGGCTAATTTTATGTTCTACTAGAACAAAGAAATCCAATAAAAATGCAACACTGAATAAAATTAATAAAATTAATAACTAGGGAAAAAAAAAAATTGGGATCAACCAATATCATTTAACTGGGAAATAGATAAGCAAATTGTGGTTCAGTCCTACAATGGAATACCGAGCAATGAAAAAGAACTACTAATACACGCACCATGGATGAATCTCAAAAAAGCATTATGTCAAGTAAGAGAAAGCAGATGCAAAAGGCTACATATAGTATGATTTCATTTATATGGTATTCTAGAAAAGCAAAACTATAGAGACAGAAATCAGTCAACTGAGTGCTAGGAGTTGGGGGTAGAAAGAAGGGATTGACTACAGAGGAACTTTTTGAGTTGACGGAAATGTTCTATATGTCAATTTTATTGTGGCTACCTAACTACATACATTTGTCAAAACTCAAACCTAAAAAGGATGATAACGGGCCGGCCCCGTGGCTCACTCAGGAGAGTGCGGTGCTGATAGTGCCGAGGCCGCGGGTTCGGATCCTATATAGGGATGGACTGTGCGCTCACTGGCTGAGCGTGGTGCAGACGAAACTGAGCCAAGGGTTACGATCCCCTTACTGGTCCAAAAAAAAAAAAAAAAAAAAAAAAAAAAAAGGATGATAACACCAAGATCAAGGGTTCAGATCCTCTTACCGGCCAGCCGCCAAAAAATAAATAATTAATTTTTTTTAAAAAAGGATGTGGGCCGGCCCGTGGCTCACTTGGGAGAGCGTGGTACTGACAACACCAAGTCAAGGGTTAAGATCCTTGAAGAAACCTGGGAAAATTGATCTTATACATCATTACATTATTGTATAAGATTATATTGTTAATTTGGTTAAGTGGGATACCTTATTTTGGTTGTTTTTAAAAAGCCTTATTTGTTGGAGATACAAACTGAACTACTGATGGTGAAATGGTATGACGTCTACAATTTGCTTTAAAATAATTTGGCAAAAAAAATGCAAGACAGAACTGATGGAATGCTGGCAAGGATGTGGTGCAACTGGAGCTCTCAAACACTGCTGCTGGGGTGCAAATTGGTATGACTTTGGAAAACTGCTGGCAGTACCTCCTAAGGCTGACATAAGCATATCTTATAGTATTCCATTCCCGGGGACGTACATGTCCAAGAGAAATGACTACTTCTCTCCACCAAGACATGTATTAAGAATGTTTATGGCAGCACTATTTGTAACAGCCCAGACTAGAAAGTGGCCAAATGCCCAACAGTGTGCTGGTATACAATTTGTGGTATCATCACATACAAGAATACCATACAGCAGTGACAATAAAAGAACTACAACTACACACAACAATATGGAGAAATTTTACAAAAATAATGTTGAAAGAAGACCATCACAAGAGCATATACTGTGATGCTATGTAGATGCTATGTAGATACATTTCAAAAGTAAGCAAACCTAATCTAAGATGTCATGACAGTGGCGGCCCTCAGGGAGGGTTTGTGATTAGAAGGGGCAAAAGAAGACTGATAGGATATTGGTGCTTACTCTGGGTGCTAGTTACAGGGGTTCATTCAGGTTATGAAAATTTCACCATGTTCTGTACACTTTTCCGTATATAAATTACACTTAAATAAAAAATTTATATCCTTCAATAAAATGTACTTTAAAAATAAAGTAGGGGAGGAAACAAACGAAACAACAAGGGCAGAAAGTGATTGTTGTGATAACTAAGTGATGGGTTCATTGTAGTAGCGTTTCTATGTTTGTGCTTGCAAATTTCCATAATAATTATTTATTTATTTATTTATTTTGTCTTTTTCCGTGTCTGGCAACGGGATTGCAACCCTCAGTGTTGCCCCTGTACCGGACCGGGGACCGGCAACGGGATTGCAACCCATTTTGTCTTTTTCCGTGTCTGGCAACGGGATTGCAACCCTCAGTGTTGCCCCCGTACCGGACCGGGGACCGGCAACGGGATTGCAACCCTCGGTGTTGCTCCCGCGCCTCGCTCAGCCAGTGAATGGGAACTGGTCTGTATGTGGGATCCGAACCCTCGGGCGGGAGCGCCAGCGCGCTTCCCAAGCGGCGCACTTATCCAGCGCGCCCCCCGGCCCGCCCCCACAAACT